GAATGATGAGGGCAATGAATGTACAAATGCGCTTTACACAATTGATGTATGTATGGATTGTGATAAGAGTTGTATTAGCCCCTAATAAAATGATTTAAAAAAAAAGACTGTCCATAAATTTTGTTATGCAACATTAAAAAAATATCTGTGTAGTTTAATTATAACAAAAACATTTTTAGTAAGCATAGTTTAGATACATCCATATACCTACAAAGCTAAAACTCTACGCAAACTTACTTTGTAATCTTCTAATGTACTCTGGTCAGCACTGTCTCCAATACCTAATTACAATGGCATTTCAAATCACTTGGTTTTGTCTGCGTGCACCATAAGCACTGTAGCTGCTGTTTTAGCCACCATACTATGGTAATTTGTGAACCTATCTCAGTAACTTTTATGATAATGCAAAAGGAGCCCTGGTGCCATAATGGATTACACTTTGGGCTGCTAATCTCAAGGTCAGCAGTTTGAACCCACCAGCTGATCTGAGAGAAAGATGAGGCTTTCTTCTCTCATCTTGTAAAGATTTACAGCCTCAGGAACCCAGAGGCAGTTCTACTCTGCCTTCCAGGCTCACTGCAAATCAGAAAGGAGCCTGGTGATGTAGTTAGTTACAAGTTGGACAGGTAAGCAAGGCCAGTATTTCAAAACAACCAGCCACTCCCAGTAGAAAAGATGAGGCTTTCCACACTTCAGGAAAAAGTTACAGTACTGGAAACTCAGAGGGGCAGTTGTACTCTGTTCCACAGGGTTGCTATGAGTTGAAATTAGAATGGACTCAATGGCAATGAGTTTGGTTTTGTAAAGCAGAAAAATAAAAATAAAAAAGGATTCTGCTCAGTTACTAAATAATGTTGTAACTAATGTTGCTATATTTTAAGGTAGAACAAACGATTTTACAAAATAATTTTATTAGTATTCATATAAACTAAGAAATATTTAAGCAGTTTAGAACTTTATTATATGTTAGCCTATAATCAGAGTTGACAGTAAACATTCCTATGGATTCTATATGATCTGATATGGGAGGAGGTCCATGGAGGTGGGGGTAACACCACTGAACCACCACATGGGGTGACAGCAAATCCTAGTGACATCATTGAACACAATCTGATGTCTCTGATATGAAGAATAAACTTTCCTCTAGAAAATTAAAAATGGGTTAAAATAAACTTAAGATAAATACTTAAAAGGATATGGCTCTAGAGGCCCAAAATATGCAGATAACTGAACACTTAATGGGGCAATGTACTACTAAGTTATATAACAAATACAATATATAACAGGTAAAAATTATAAAATATAAATGCATATTTTACTTACCTGTCAGGGTACATTATAAACACTGAACATAAGACCAATAATATAACAAACATTAATAGCTTCAGTTTCAAGAAAACAATGCACAAACTCAGCTTTATAAAAATAAATGAACTTTTCATAGATTTTGAAATATTTTGCATGTTTAAAATTATTTTATTTTTCTAATTCTATGTCTGATACAAGATAGTGTTTTTATTTTATATCAATGTTTAACCATATTTTGGTTAAAAGAATTTTGAGTAAGATATATTTAATTGTTGCTGAAATATCTTTAGTTTGTCCTGAAATGACAAGAATAAGATAGAGAATAGCCAATCCTCCTTAAACCATCCACTACAATTTATATGCTTTAAGGTACAATGTCTTAACATTGGTGGGCATCTCATTATTGGATTATACAGAAGTTTACTAGTGTTTTATACAATAAGAGTTAAGTAATCCTAAGTAAAATAGCATAAGGAGTACACTTAAAAATAAGCAATTTCTATGGCTTTAAATATAGTCTTTCAATACATTTGATAACAAAATAACTGAATGCTATAAGCTAGAATTATAACTACATGGACAACTAAAACTACAATTACTGTACCTTGGGAACGCTTTCTTTTAAGACCTGTCGCATCTGCACTCTCCTTATATCCTCTCCATTTGAACAGAGTAGGAAGGGAGAAAGGAGGGAGGTGGTAGACAACTAAGAGAGCAAAAACACTGAGCTTCAAAGTAAATTTTATATGAGGTTTGCCATCTTGCCCTTTTGTGGCAGTATTTACTTAAAAAATGTTATATTTGATAAACATTATTCAAAATGCTTTATATAATTTCTAATGAAAAAACCAGTAGGCAGAACATTAGTGATGTTTATCAAATATATGCTCAACTTTTACTGAAAGAAAAAAGGCAAATGATACCTGAATTTATCAGTTAAAAGATAACTAAGTGAATATCACATTCAATGTTTTTGAACAGACAGAAAAACCCCCAAACATTACAGTTTTGAGAGCTTACGGATAAACCCTGTCTTTACAATAATCAGAATTTTTTGACTACAACATAGTTAACATCTGATATACCAACCAAGAATGCAATAAACAACATTTCAAACATCTAGTACAGCTTTCATGAGACCAACAGCACAGTAGATACTTTTTATAACTGCAGTATAATGGAGCCTTTTCCACAGAAAGAAATTTTACTTTAACAACTGTCCAAGTTGTTAAAAAAAACAACACAAACCAACTCTTTACAAATGAAATTACAACTACTCCCCCACACCCCAAATTGGAAGCTCTACTATTAACTATAGATTTCTTAACGATAAAATAATGGAAAAAAGGTCATTAGTTAAAATGTATGCTTTGTCATCTTTTAAGCATCAAATAGATAACATAAAGCCAGGCATATACTTGATATTTGGCAAATTGGTAAATAATCAAAGTCAACATTGTACCTGTCAAATTTTGCTAGTTATGCATCAAGAAACTTCCTTACAATTTTTAAGAGCTATTTAAAAATGTTCTTGAAGTTGAGCCTTACAATTCAATTTCCTAATGTACCATAAAAGTTTTATAATTTAGTTAAAATTCATTCAGATAAATTCCATTTTCATTCTCACTCCCTTACATATGAATGTGACATTCAAAGTTAAATAAATACTGCTCAATATGAAAAGAGCTCTCTCATATATACAACATAAGATTTAAAAAAATCTTTTGTATATTCAGATGAATTATGTGCAAAGGTTTATATACTAATGGGAATTGAAAATGCTTACAATGTACTTTAAAATAACTACATCTATATGTAAGTAAGCAGCTATAAGACTATGTGACTAAAGCTGAGTTTTCACATCAGGAATATAAAAATATTTCAATGCCATAGAAAGGTGGGAAATAACTGAAGCAATTTTCTTCATTGAAAATGTTTCTTTTTTCATGTGCCTTCTGGTTAGTTACTGAGAATTAAATGTACCATTTAAATTAGGGCACATATTTAAACAACAAAAAAATCATCAGGAAAAAGCTGCTAACGTATCAAAGTGATCAAATTAGCATCAATTTGAGATTTTACAACTCAGAGGATCAAAAAATTCAATTTTTGTATATTTAGTACTAAAACTAACAGGGATTGATTCCATGCTTACTTAAAAAAAAAGCGCTAATGGAAAACATATGGGCCACTGACCACATTTTTAAAATTATACATGTACTTTCAGCAAGCTAGCAAGTTTCAAATATGAAAGATTTTCCTTTTTTAAAGAATAGTATAATTTAAGGATTAAAAAAAGACAAACACTAAATATACTAAAAACAAGGAAATATGTTTAACATTTTTACAAAATTAAATAGATATGATTATCAACTTTACAGCTTTACCTTTTATTTTCATGTGAAAGTTACTCTACTTATACATTCTTCAGGATAAAAGGTTAAATATAAGGAACTCGCATTTTAAACCAGAGTATTATGGGTACTCCCAAAACTACAGTAGATTAAAAAAAGTGTTACCTACTACTAATCCAAACAGAGAACCCTGCTAAAGGATATTTAAGTGCCAGAAAGCAGGATTTTTATTTTCTTTCTAAGTTTTAGTTTGAAATTCTTAGTTTTAGCAACGCCCCCCACCAAAAAACCAAAAAAACCCTACAAACGAAACTCATGCCATCGAGTCAATGCCGACTCACAGTCCGCATAGGACAGGGTGGAAATGCCCGAGAGTTTCTGAGGCTGTAACTCTTCACTGGAGCTGAAAGCCCCATCTTTCTCCCATGGAGCCGCAGGTGGTTAGGAACTTCTGACCTTATGGCTCTCAAGCCAACTCGTAACACTATGCCACCAGGGCTCCTTAGTATTAGTTAAAAAAAAAAAGGTATACATAAATTCAAATTATCCTCAAAATGTGAATTTATCAAATACTAACATTTATCAAGGTGTTCTTTTAGTTATTAAAATTTTATAAAGCAAGGAAAAAGATTTAAAGTACTGAAATATAGTATTGTCAAAAGCTTCCTAACTAATTCACATTTTCTCTATAGAATTCTGAAAGCAGTGGAGTACCAAGAGCAGGAGGTTGCCGATTATATACAACTAAATCATCAGAATAGAAAAACTATTTCTAAATGATGGCTGGCAACCTGGACAACCCAGCCACCAGGGAATGCAGGCTTGTATATCTCACATAAGCAAATACAACTGAAGAAATACAACTCCTGTAAATCCCTCTTGGATCTCAGAGAGATTAAGTTGCATAAATTTATACAACTTTAATAGATAGCATATACGAATTATATGCCTTTGGGTTTTATAATCTTATCAAGTCTGTCAATCTATCATTTAAGTGAGTGTTTACTTCTACTATATTTACTATAGTTACTGATATAGTTAGATTTAGGTCTAGCATTTCCCCATTTCTTCCTCCTTGTCCTAACTGCTGCTTGTCTGTTTTCCCTTTCCCATCTATTTATTTCACAAAATTACCTAGCACAGTATTGTTGCATATGTGAACATTAAAAACCTTCTGCCAATATGAAGAGTGAAGGCTTTACTGTATATATGTGAGAAGGCTTAGTTGGAAAAGGCATTTTCCCCCTCAAACTAATAAAATGTGAAATTTCGGAAAAGTGGTATGCAAAACTATCAAATTATACAGTATTTCCATCTTTATATATGAGGTAAGTGGGAAAATACTGCTACAAAAACAGAGAAAGTTTTATTAAATAAACGATCGAAGTGTGAAGCTGATATTTCATGACATGTCCTCTCAATAGGCCTACATACTTCGAAAGCAGCATTTCCATCTCTAATCCGTACCCAAAGTACTCAACAGATATTCTCTTCGATTTGCATGTCAAAGTGGCAGCTTTGACATTCTCAAGGGACTCAAATTGTGTTCCTTTTCAATGTATTTAGGATTGGAGAAGAAAAAGGAAAAGTCTGCTGGGGTAAGATCTGGGCTATAGAGTGGATGAGGTAAGGTTTCCCCAATAACATCCTTGAAGGACAGCCCTTGCTAGCCTTCAATAATGAGCAGGGCACTGTGTTCATTTGTACCTGAATTCAATACAGTCATAGGACTTGTCAAAAAATCTTCCAGATAAAGGCAAGCATGGATGAAGAAACACTTACAGGAAGTATTTTAGGGAACTTCATAAATTCTAATCCATTTGCACTGTTATACTCACCAGAATAGTTGATCCCACTGCCTGCAGTAAATGGAACAACAAGAGTGTTTTAAAATTCACCATACATTTAAAATTTTACAGATTAAAAAACATGGACAACTTGGCTATTATAAATGTTTTAAGCTACTACAAGGATACTCAGATGATGAGAAATTAAAGATGTAATTTTTATAATTAACATTGGATTGTTTCTAAATAACATTGATACAGTTATGAATATGGAGACAGCCTATAGGCAGTATACAGAGGTAACTGAAGTTTTTTTTTAAGTATTAGGACAAGAATCAACAATAAAATATTGTAAACAGTTGTTCTGACATAATGGCAAGGGGCTTTATTTATTTTTTAAAAAAATATTTTATTAGGGGCTCATACAACTCTTAACACAATCCATTCATACATCAATTGTGTAAAGCGCATTTGTACATTCATTCCCCTCATCATTCTCAAAACATTTCCTCTCCACTTAAGCCCCCAGCATTAGGTCCTCATTTTCCCCCTCCCTCCCCACTCCCCCCTCCCTCATGAGCCCTTGATAATTTATAAATTGTTATTTTGTCATATCTTGCCCTGTTCGACGTCTCCCTTCACCCACTTTTCGGTTGTCCGTCCCCCAGGAAGGAGGTGCAAGAGGCTTTATATATTCAATTTTCTTTGATAACCATAAGGACTTCCTAAATGGACTAGTTTGGGACTACAATATAACGATCTGTACATTTTATAGCAGATTGTAGTAGTGTTGTGCCACCAAACATATATATTAAGTACAATAACATGGAGACTAGTTCAGAAATTCATAGCAATTTGACTCTACTTCTAAAATAATAATAAAATATTTAAGAGATCAAATGTATATATCCAAACCCTCCCAAATTACTATATCAAACTTACGATACTATTTTGGATTAAGTGGTTTAAATAATAAATTAATTGGTCTTACCCTCTTTTCCATCTATGGGTTTTGACACTTCAATATCAAAAATTTCCTGCATCTGCTGACCCCTAAAACGGTTGAGATGTTCTTGCTCAATTAAATTACTTTCTTCTTCCTCTAGAGGTTGCCACGTGCCATCAATAAACCACTGTCCACGCATTACTGGTATTTTATCAGCCTCTGAGAAAAAGGAAATCACAGGATTACACATTGTCAGATTCAAAGACACATGGTAATTATAATTTTATATTTTTCTACTGCTAAGGTAAAAAGACTTTCATGCCTTAATTGAATCACTTAAGGTTTTAAAATTTAGAGTATAATCCGGAGTATCTAATTTTTCTACAGCATACCACTTTACTTCTATTTAATGAAAATTATACATAAAAATTACTTAAGGCATTAAAAAAGTAAATGAGCAGTTAGTTATATCAGAGGGGCCCTGCGTATCCAAATTAATATGATAAGGGGTTAAGTTTCATTCAAAGTTAATTTAATACGAATAAAACTTTGTAAAATTAATTGCTACACCACAGCCTTTGAAAATAGCTCTTTTCTTATTTGAATTCTTCAACTTATAGAAAAGCTGCTTCTATGGCTATTATGCTTTTTGCATGTTATTGGTAGTCATGATATTTAATACATTTTATTATTCTACATTACTATCAATTTGCTTACCAAGACATCTACTTCATTTTCTCTTATTTTTCATTCTCATTATTTATGTAAATAAATATGTAGTATAGTCTCTACAATGCCAACTATTTATATTAATGCATTGTGTACCAATTCTTTATTATCAGAAAATAACAAAACTTCACATCTAAAACTAAGCTGTGATTGACTTTTATGTGTTTTTGTGATTGACTTTTAACAGAATTATTGTTTGCATGCCATTAGATTGAAAATCTTGATGAGTGCTAGAATGTTAAACAGATAAGAAGACTAAGAGGAACTATTTCCAATGCATAAAACAAAACAAAACGAACAAACCAACAAACTATAATCGAGTCAATCTTGACTCATGGCGAACCTACAGGATAAAACTAATCCTGTGGGCTTCCAAAACTAACTCTTTATGGGAGTAGAAAGCCTCATCTTTCTCATGTGGAGTGACTGGTGGTTTTGAACTGCTGATCTTGCAGTTAGCAGCCTAGCATGTAACCACTATGCTAGTAGGGGCTGGTACCCCAATGCATATAGCCATTAACAAACACATTTCTATAAAATAAAACACCAAAAAACAATAACAGGTGTATTTAAAAATACAGGCAAGGGATTTTATGTAACATCAATTTACTGCTTCTTAGCTTCAAATCTACCCTTTGTTTTTGCTTTGCAAAAATGGAGCTGAACCTAAATAGTCTCACTTGCCAGCAGGCCTAATATTATGCTTTGCCAGCAGAGGGCACTGAAGGACACTAGGAAAAGAGGCTGCTCTTCCAGGTCCCAACGCACTGACATCCCTCAGTGGACTCCTGTAGGGTGAGTACTGCTTGCTAGGCATCCAGGTCCACTTGGATTACTTTTCAGGTATCCTCCTCAGGCAGGTTGCAGAGAGATCTGAGGCGAGACTTCCCCTAAAGTAGCAGGAGGCAGAATCACAGCAGCTTACACTGACATAGCACTTCTGGGAGCCATGTTCTTTCAAATCAGATCTAAATCTCAGTCTTTAGAAAGAATGGGCTCTCTCTTATGTGCCCTATGAGGGGGGTTGGGGTTGGGGTTGGCTGCTGTTTCTGTATTCTTTATAGAGTTCTCTTTGCTGCAACTTCATTTCTGTTAGTAATTCTAATATTATACTAAACTTTCTTTGTTGAAATTGCCATGTGGTTTCTGACTCCTGACTGTACTCTAGTAATAACAAAATTTTCAGCAGATAGACAATAAACCTATAACATAAAGCATCTTAGACTGGTATTGAAGGAGATAGATGGAATTTGAAAATTTCATTCCTATGTATATACTCTTAAAGAAATGGTGGCACATTTGCACCATGGAGATACATATGAAAATGTTTATTTCAGCAATTTAGAGTAGCAAAGTTGTTCAAATAACCTAAACATTCAAAGTGGAAAACAAATTATGGCATATTCATGCAAAAGTATGCTACTATATATAGCGAAAACAAATAGCTAGAGTTTTGTGTGTAATCATTGGATAAATCTCAAAGTCCTAACATTGAACCAAAAAGCAAATTGCAATATTAAGTTAAAACCAGGGAAAAAAGAACCAATACTCTTTGCTTATATACATACAACACATTTTTTGATAATGAAAAAAGTACATGAGAATAAACAGCCAATTCAGGATGGTGGCTACCTCTAAAATTTTAAACAGGGGAATGGACCACAGAAATGACTTTATGCATAATGTTTAATTTCTTAAGTTAGAAATGTGGGAGAGTGGAGTATTAACTATACTGCCTCTACATTCTATGTGCTTGAAATAGTTCCAATAGTTTTCAGAGTTTAATTGGTAATAGAATGAAGAGCAGAAAATTAGGAACTAGATATTAAAATGTTACCTTCCATTTAAATACTTTAACCAGAGTGAGTGAGTGAGAGAGAGAGAGAGAGAGAGAGAGAGAGAGAGAGAGAGAGAGAGAGAGAGAAACTGTAATCTAGAGGAACTATGTGGAACATAGTTAAACAATCATTCTCTCACCCTTTGGCTTGGTTGTAATGCTATTAACTGGGTTAGTAGTTAGCAATCATACAAATGCAAAACTGGGTTAGTAGTTAGCAATCATACAAAATTCTATTGTACAACAGTAATACCTATACTATACTTTAAAATAAACCTGGGGGAACAATTAAAATAACAATCATACTAAGAATACTAAATTTTGCTTAAGAATTACTGCCAATAATATCTATCACTGGCCAAGCTTAGCACTAATTTATAAAGGTGAGACAGTGTTGATGATATGTGTGTACCTTAATTTGCTTCTTTTGATTCAAGACTTAATATGTTCTGGCCTGTACATATTTGTTTAGATTTTCAGCAAAATAACTATAAATGGAACAAATGATTTACTGCCCTCAAAAGCTTTTATTACATTATTCTTTCAGGAATTCATATTATATTCTCATCCCTTTCTCAAATTTTAATTCACAATAAGTACACTTAGCTCTAAGTTTCCAACTTTTTGTTTTGGCTAAGTCTTCCAACTTATTATGTTTTAGTAAATTTAGGCAAAGCAAATTTTACACATGCTTATTAAAAGAGTTCTCTCTAAGTATTGGCTAGTCAAAAAATGTTCTGTATCATTTTGATAAAGAATTCTACAGAGGAATCCTAATTAAAAAAGTGGAAATAGCAGGACAAAATTTAAATTCTCATGGACTCCCCACTTTACAGAGCCCATTGCTGAGAGAGCTTTCAACCTCAAACCCTAAATTCTGTGAAGTCTTCTTAAAAACAAATAATAGTTTAGCTTAACTGGTAAAAGATGCCTTCCTTGAGCATTGTGCTCCTTTAAGAAATAGCTATATGGGATCAAACTAACAACAATTCAAAAAATTAGATAAGAAATGTAGGGGGCAGCGGATTTATGCAACGGGAGAGGACTAACTCAGAAAAGGAGAATGAAAATGTTTGTACAACTTGAAGAATGTAATTAATACCTTAGAATTGATGTGTACTTTTGTTTTTAAAACTTTTGTGAAAATTTACAGAGCAAATTGCTTTTCCATTCAACAATTCATACTCACTTTGATTCATGACACTCATCCCAATCCCTCCAGTGTGACGGCACTCTTTTCAGTTCCTCCCTGGGTTTCACATTTCCAATTTCTCCTGGACAGATGCTACTGTCTTTTGATCTCACTGTGGTTGGTTTTCTAAGGAGTGTGTTCCTCTTGATGATACTGTTCATTGTATGGGCTTGTTTACAGTTTGTTTGAAAGTTGAGCGAAGAGGTGAGCTCAGTTCCAGGCTAAAAGGGGAACTGAGGGTCTCCAGTTTCTATCAAGCCAGTTAGCCTGGCCTTTCTATTAAGTAGGCTCTACGGTCATTCGGTCGGTCACTCGGTCACTCACTCACTCACTCTCTCAGTGCTATTGAGTTGATTTGCATCCTAGTCATCTTATAGAACTACTCACTAGGTTTCTGAGACAGATCTTTACCAGAGCAGACAGCCTCTTTCTATCATGGAGTGTACAGTGGGTTTGAAGTGAAGAGATTGTAATTAGCAGGCCAATGTTTAACTCATTGCACTACCCAAGATTATATTCATGGATACATTTGCAGCACACATAAATACATATGTAGAATTATCTACCGGTAGTCAGTCAATAGAAACAGACCCAGAAAAACAGTAAAATTAGCGGTGAAAATTGTTAAGACAAATATTATATTCACTAATATAAGAAGATAGAGGAAAATAAAAGTATCATAAGGAGAGAAATGTAATATATTTATACATACCTCAATTAGACTTACAAATACAATATTATACACAAAAATATACCTAAGGAGATAAAAAACCAGTTGACTCCTATATCCCGACAGGACAAAATAGACAAGCCTCAGAGTTTCCAAAGCTGTAATCAGATGCAAGATCCAGACCAAGAAAAAAGCAAGCATGCTTTTCCACAGTGTCCATTTATATTGGAAGCTCCTCAAAGCACTGCTTAGAGGTAATCTTTAAACATTAAAAATATCCCTAATGTTTTCTTAAAACCAAACAATAATTCAGCTTAACAAATAAAAGAATGTCTGCTCTAAGTATTGTGCTCTTTCAAGATGTAACTACATGGGATAAATTGACAATAGCAAGTGGAAAGATGAGATAAGACTTTTAAGGGCAGGGAGTTTCTGTTAGTGGGGGAGGATCAACTCAGAAAGGGAGGTTGAGAACAGTTACACAACTTGAAGAATGTAAGCAATGTCACTGTAGAAGCAGATCATCATATAGTTTGCTGTAGTGGAGTGAAATTACTTGGAATGGCTCTTCTATACAAGTCTTTGTAACTCCCACCATATGATAGGGTGGGACCATGCATACATGGGTGAATCACTAGTAGAGGGAATTAGTGGGAATACGAAACGAGGCACTACAGAAGCAAGAAAAGAGAATTCTTAGGATCATCAAGGAAGATGAGCCACTAGCAGAGTACATTCAATATTTCTCCCTGCTTAAAGTGACAGCGGCAACAGAGGCCATGTCATGCTGA